GGCGAGACAGGAAGGTGTTAGTTGCTGTGGGCATTAGACTGCAAGGACACAGCTCCCCAGTTCATACTGGAGTTCATCTGGTCGTGTTTGTGCCTGCACAGTGGAGATACTCAGTGGCACAGCAGAAATGCCATCTGAGCAGCACAAAATGCTTTTTTTAGTATTGTTTCAAATATTCACCCTTTCAGTAAATAAAAACGGTCTGAACTGCACAATTGATACAGAATTAGTAAGTTTCTGCTTATTTTAGCTACCGCCGGTACAGTTCATCACAGTTAACAAAGCAAAATATATTTGAAAGCACAAAAGCATCCATCTTGGGTTAGATCACAGACTGTTTCAGTGTCTCATCAGCAAAGGTGGCTGTAAGCGAATGCCTGCAGGAGCAGTGAGAACAGTATGATACTGTCTCCTAATGCTCTCCCAGCCAGCAGTGATGTTTAGCTTTAGGGAGCTTTCTGCATTGAGTATGGCTTTGTGTGTTTAGTAACCCTCAGCTGAATTCTAGTACGATTTCCCCTAGAGAAAGTGTGAAAAGAGAATTTGTCGAAGAAGTGCATGGTTTTCTTTGTTGTGGAAAGGGTCAGCTCTCTTCCATTTAATATCTGTGTAGATTTTGGTGTTCAGCCCTCGTTATGAATTCACACTCTAGTTTTTCTGTTTTAGCTTAAGAGGTGAGCTGCATAAACAATACGTTCACCTGCCTGCTGTCTTGTATGGAAATTTCCAGTCTGTCCCTTGCCTTTCAGGAGGGCACAGCGCTGCTTCCTGCCACAGAGCCATCAGAACCGGTGCATGAATCTGAAACTTGCATTGGATTTAAATGCTTGGGGTCTTGAAGCCCCTACCTCCTGCACAACCCTATCAAATTATTTTATTGCTTCTAATATACAAAGTATCAGATTTCTTTTTCATTACTGCCCTTATGCCTTTGCAAGCATTATTTTGTACATTCGTTACTCCCTGGCACAAAACACCAGTTCATGCCAGCTCACTCGATATGCATGCAGATGTGAATTTCAACCTAGAAAAAGGTCATCACTCAGATAACAAATACGTGTTTTAACTTTCTGAACACATTAGTTGTAGAAACCTTCTACACAACTGCTTTATATAGTTCTGTTGAAGCTGTGGTGTATGTGCTTTTAGGCTATGACCAGTTTTAAGCAGAACCAGTCATGTTAGTGGTTTGGTTTTTTTTTTTTACTTTAATCTTGTTTATTATCATCTCTTCCAAGTGAAAATTCAGTGGCTTTTTTAAGAAAACAAAACAGCAAACTCAGTAGGTAGACAAGGGCATTGTGGAACATTGTGTCATGACTGTAAAGGCTTGCTGTGTCCACATAATGACTGTTTTACTGACAGATAATTGGATCTAGGTTGTGTTGCTGCTGGCTTTAGGCTTTTTTTTTGGGGGGACTGATTTAACATAATCTCAAACTTGTAAACTTGTGCTTAATAACTGCTGATCGAGAGAATCTTCTGACTGTCAGATTACGCGTATGATTACTGTTAGTGTCTGAAGAAAACTTTTGGGTTGAGCAACCTTTGCTTAAAGCGTCAAAACCGAAGGTTTACACAGTAATGTATTTATTTTCTCTAAAACAGTGGCTATGCCTGTGCATTCTTCTACACTGAAAAAGGTAAGAAGTACAATAACTGGAACATATCAGAAGGATATTATGATGATGATAACAGTAGAGTGCCCTGCAATTCATGCAGACGTAGACTGAATGTGCACTGCCCAACTTTAAAGTCAATTAAATGGACAATATTGGCCATACTGGGAGATGTTGAGAGATGAGGGACTGAGATGCAGCATCCTGATTCTGCTGAAATGGGCAGCTCTTGTGAGTGGTATCAGTGGGATTAGCCTTTCATCAGGTAGGACTGAATGGCCCAAGGATGAAAAGATAGCCTTGACATCCCAATCTAATGCTGAGTCCCAGTTTAGATGTAAATCTGTATTTCACCTAATAAAATAATTTTATTTTTTTTTAAATATATAGCATCTTTCTCAGGGCATCGTCACTCATCTTTTTAAGCAACCACTATCAATACTAGAAGAAGCTTTAGGAGAATGGCCTAAACAAAATGCCAAAAAGCATCTCCTGACAGACTGAAAGAGAAAGTGAATTCTTAAATCAGGGGCTATTTGTAGCCCATCTAAACTTAGAACATATTAGTTTGGATGTCTCTAAGAACATTACAAGTTCATCTCGATTTGACATAAGCTATTTGAAAATGGTTTTAATATTAAGTAGATACATGAATGCATAAACTTTAATGGATAAAACATGAACTTTCCGCAGAAGAGTTTCAACTGTAACTAAAAAACAGATGCATTTCATCTTATTATTTGCAAGTTGTGAATAAATCTGTCACAGGTAGCCTGAGCTGTTTGAAATTATAAGAGTGACTTGTGAGACCAGTAAACCTCTTCCAGAGTCTGGCTTAAGAGGTCTGTGAGCTGTAAATAATAAAAATAGTTACACTTAGAACCATACTCAGTTGAAAAGGCCTTATCTAATTGAAATTTGAGAGCCTAGGCAAAATAGATACACAGAGCCAAGTATTTATTTCTAAGGAAACTAAATGAGCTAAAACCAAAGTTTTAATGGAAGACAAAGTGCATTAAAATCTGATCAGCCAAAGCTTCAGGCACAAAGAAGTGATCAACCCCACCTTTCTGTGCTATTAAAAACTGAACAGAAAGTGTGACATTTCATTTTGTGGATTCCTTCTTTCTGAAGTTCTAGTTGGCTGCCATTTTGAAACACAGAATAAGTTTAGGAGCCCTTAGCGGAATATAATTATCATTGTCATTCCCCTAACACCACTGGGAGGCTTGGCTCTGAGGGCGTCCCTCTGGCAGGCTGCCTCGAAGCCAAAGGAATCTCAGGAGACCTCATCTTGAGCACAGTAGTTAGGGCAGAGCAGACATTCCCAGCGGGACATTCTGGAGCCAGACGTTAGGAGGGACAAGGTTGCCAGGAACCTGACAAGACACCAGAAAAAGTGCCAGATGTGCTGGGGTTTTGTTGTTTGGAGTTTTGTTTTGTTTTTTAATTCTGCTTGCTTTCAGTACAAATGTATGTAGATGCACTAGGAGAATTATTTCTGCTTCAGTAAGGTGTTGATTTGTTTTGTCTTATGGAAAGTATAAATGACATTGCTTATGTTGTAAATGCCATAAGCTTTCTATGCTCAGGAACTTCATGTAAGGAGCAAATACACCCTTGAGAACTTTGTTACTTTTCTGTTCTTTTTTAACCTTTCTCTGTTCCTAGATGTGTTTATCTTCCAACTGGTTTGATACGAGACCTGTTTAGAACAGCCATGCAACAGTTCAAGCACCCTGGCTGGGCCTGTTGTGATGCCTCCCGTCACTTAGTTACTCAGTTTCTATGCTGTTCCTTTGTATGTGCCATGTGGACGCCTACTGAGAATGCCAGAAAATGTCAAAGCAGCATGACAAAATATACTTCTTGTCACCACAGAGAAAGAGTAGTGAGTCTAAATTCCACATAAAGTGAGGACCCGGATTCCTACTGCTAATAGTATTGGAATTTTTCAGCAGCATATTAGCAGCTATGGCTTTCATTTCCCCTCATTTCTTATTGGTGCTATGAGAGTTTCAAATAAGAAGTCAGTTTGTACACTGCTGTTCTTGGGTTTTTTTCCATTCTCTCCCGATCAGAATTTCCAGTCTTACCTATCATTCCAGTAAATAAGCAGTGACCCTGATTCTAATGGCCTTTGAATTAATAATGAAGGTTATCAGTATGGGTTCTTTTGCTGCTCTTAAGATTTGTGGCCAGTTAAATTGTTCTCCTTTGAACATGGCACAATATAAATTGCAATCATCCTTGGCAACTGCTATTTGTGTTGGTCGTCGTGAAAAGCCAAACATGACTGCTGTGCAATGGTCCAAGTAATAACAGCCCAGCACTAGTCATCTGTCTGAACATTAAAACATTGTAAGTTCCAAGCCTTGTTTCAATTTCTGTCTTTGTTTTTTTTCTGGGATTCAATGCAATATCAAGTATTTCAAGTTTTGAGTTGTGAATCAAGGTGAGCATGGTGGGGATTAATTTGGTTTTAAAAACATTTCAGTGTCAATGCTAATTCAATTTCATTTAGGAAAAAAATGTAAACATATCCAGCCTTTTCTATAGTTTGTTTCTGGCCTCCCTCCTGTCAATGATTTCTTTCCTAGCTAATGAAAGCAAACCAAATGTATTTTTTCCCTTCTGTTTCCACTGCAAAGGCGAACCAGACATGACTCACTACAAAACTGTAGTGGATTCAAGGAGACAATGAATAAGGCTGAGCAAAAGATGAGTTAGGAAGTACATTTTCAGTCCAGCACAGAGGCAACTCCTGCAATGATTTTCAGCAAAGGAAAGGAGAGGATGTGAGGAGGAGGAGGAGGATGGAGGCCCTGTGTGCATAGAGCCTGGGACAGGCCATCATTCATCATCCCTATGACAGCTCTCTTTCTTGAAAGAACCCTTTCCTCCCCACTCTTTGCATTTCTATAAACCCCAGAAATTGTGGTGTGGGTTTTTTTGGTTTTGGTTTGTTTTTTTAATTCACAGGCTTCCAGGGTAGGAGTACACTGGAAAGACCTTAGAGGCAGGAGCTACAGAAATCTGACAAGAGTTACTTGATATTCATTTTCTGCCTTCCTCTCTGTTACGCCTTTTCAACACAGAATATTAAGGCAAAAATTATTTCATTTTCTCCTCAGTCAACTGAAACATATTCTCTTCTGTGATGCCGGCAATGAAATGTATTTTCCAAGTTTAAATAGCAGTCAAACAATAACACAAGTACTTCTGCAGAATTTTGCTAAAGGTTCTCTATCCTCAGCTGAATAACAAAGGTCTTCAAGAGCATTTGCCTCGGTTTTTGTCATTTGCAGAGAACATCCATTTAATTTTTTCTTCGTCTTTCACAAGCAAGCTGACTGATAGCTGGTTTGTTCTCTATTTCAGGTCGTGGAGACTAATTTGGTTGCTTTTGACTGTCACTGGATCATTATAAATGAGGTAACTGTCAAGTGAGCACTCTTGTGAACCTTGAATCCTGATTTCAGGCTTACTGACAATACTCATGCAAGTCTTGACTTTGCCAACAGGAAGCAGTAGCTACGACAAAGTTCAGGCACACTGGGGGAGTGGATGTTGCTTAATAAAACTAGAATGACAAGTTCTTGGACTTGCTTCTTTCTCATGCCTATTTTAAACAGAAGTCCTTGAATAAATGGAATATAAAATAAAAAGTCCTTTCTTTATGAGTATCTTGAGATTTCACATTTGACTGGCGCTGACTGTTTTTAGAGAATATTTTAAAGTCTTTTTTCATATATAATCTTTCACAGTGAAGTGCTGGAGTTTCATTTGTATTTTGATGATTTTTCTTAATAAAATCCCACTTTCCTTTAAGAATTCCCCTAGAATTCAGTCATCGTTGATATCCAGATCTGTTGATGTTAGTGGGGAAGCTTTTTGGTGGACTTCTGGATCAGGCCATATATGAATGTTCATGAAGGGAAAAAAGGAAGAAAGTTAAATTCTGATCCTATTTTTAAACTGTGAAATAGGTTCTTTCATGAATGCCTGTCAGCTAAAATATAATAAGTCAATATGTGAAGTAGCTTTGCATATAAAACATTGAACAATGCAATTGTTCATAGATTTGATAAAATTCAGATTTTTCTTGTATGAAAAGCAATTTAGGTCTCTCCCCTAACAGATAGATCATGCAACTTCAGTATGTTCTCAGGATAAAAAATTGCTTGGAGATATTTATGTAAATTCCAGGTCTACTCTCTGGATTTACTGTGCACTTCTGTTTTGACAATAATTACTAGGTTTTCATTAGTACAGTGTACTAATAGTGAGGTAATGTAATCCAAAGCTTTTTTTTTTTTTCAAGATTATGGCAAGGTATAACGCTGTTGCAGTGGGATTGTACTTTGGCCTACTCGTTTAAACCAGTGGATTTTTAGCCAGTTTTCCCTGGAGAAAATTATGGATCAGAAAGTGCTGTGAAGTCATCCAGGTTCAGCAGAAATTATTTTGGGCCCTGCGCTGCTCCTGACCAGTAATGTGTGTATTTTCCAGCACTGAATGGGTAGGTCTCACTGGTTGAGAACCCAACTTTAAGCTACAGACAGTCATGAGAACAGCATATGAGTTTTCTTTTTCCTGTCAGATTAAATGATTTTTCCTTATCACTATGGTCAAGTTACAATACAAATGTAAATATTTCCTGAATGATGAATGTTGCGTAACATTACTTGCTTATTGCAACATTTTACCAGCTCAGTAATAAGATTGCAGTGCCTCTACTTTGGCAGTGCAAAATTTGGAAATGCAGTGATTTACGGACCCCTTGCTGTGTGGTATATAAAATGTCTATCTTCACATCCAAGTCCATTTGATATGGTTGTCTATTAGCTGTTGATGACCACAGTACTTCCATACGACTAGAGTGATCCAAGTGCTCTGCCTGTTTTGTTGCTTACATAAATCTTTTGTGACATCTTAGACAACTTAGACTTGTGTTTGTGAGCCTGTACTGGCTAAATCAGACTGTCAACTAAGCATCTGTAACACTGCTTCTCTGGCCTCCTAATCTGAAAATATAAGCTGATCCATTACAGTGAAAATGCATTGTTTTTCAAAATCCACGTATGATTCAAATACTTCCTTGCATTGAGGTACCAAAATAAGCTGGAGTTGTCTTTCCTTTTCCATCACTGTGCCAAGAGGATACAACACACTTAGTGAGTATAGTAATACACAAGGAAATACCACCTTCCGTTTCATGATCAGGAATATGCTTAGGCTTTGTGAGGTAACATCTGTTATTTTAATTGCTCACTTTAAATGCTGTAATGCCTGGAAAGAATTCCTTCTTTTTTATTGTGCCATTAGTTGCTATTTTATGTAATACAGAAAATTTGCTTGAAGACTGTGTAGCATAATTGAAATGCATATGTGGGAGGAGGGGGGTTGTTCCCATAGAATGAAAGGCTTCATAATTTGTTAAAGCAAAATACAGCTTATCAATCCTTTGCAAATAATACAAATCTCTTCTGATCAGTGCAGTCAGCTGAGGAAATACTTTCCAAATAAATGTTCTTATTCCTTCAGGCCCTTAAAGCAGATGGTGCAATTCTTTATTTAAAATTTGCAGGAGTCATAGATTTGAATGTAGTCGTGATCAAATATGCCTTAACAAAATGTGAGAATGGATTTCTCACACTCTCTCTCCCTCTGTCTGTCTGTTCCTGCTTGCTTCTTTCCCTCTGCATAATAGTAAACATAACCTCAAAAAGCCCAGGATAGTTAAATTGTATTTCTTTTATGACTCTTAATCACAAGTGTACAGTAAGCTTAGATTTTATTTAGTGGAACTGAAGAAGGAGCATTTGTATGATTTGCATCACTTTTCTTTCTTTTGCTCTTTTCAAATGAAATGTCTTTTTTTACTTTAAATCCATGTCTCTCAAGCATTTTCCTGTGTTAAAACATTCAGAGTCATCTTACCATGCCCAAGGCTGCCACCAGTTCTCTGTTACTATTGTTTACTCAAGGACAGCCCAAAACACTTTCCACTGCCTATAGTTACCATACAGGAGGTGAAAGTATTAATTCTACTGTACAATGGGTTGGTTGGATTTCTTTTGCAATAATGTGCACATTTATGACCAACTCTATTAAATTTAGAATGGAATGGGTGCGCAGAAAAGCTGATTTGTGTGAGAAGAGACTGAAAAGGTTGACTTGATTAGCCTATGAAAACAAAGACTGAAAGAGGATATGCTCTCTGTTTATAAACACATACAGAGTGTGAATAAATGCATCGTTGTCAAGGGCTAGAGGACAAGGTTGGCACAAGAACAAATGAGTTCAAATTGCCCATAAATAAATTGAGGGCAAAAGTTAGTAGAAGATTTCTAATTACCAGAGGCATGAGAGTATGGAAAAACTCCTTTGAGGAAAGAACAAAAAAGGCCCAAACTCTTTTAAAGAACAGTTACTAGAAAAAGATCCTACAAACCTGCCCATCATAGCACAAGAGAGGACTAGGGGACCCACAAGGTTATATTCAAAGGCTACTTTCAGATGAAGACATGTTTTTCCTAGAAAAGGGCTGGTCCTTGGCCCATGCATTCAGCTTTTTCCATTGTGCTTCTGCCCAAAGCACTCCAACACAAAAAAAGAACATAACTATGTTTTAAGCTTGAGCAGCTACATGAGGTCCTAAAATCACAGCTTGGTTCCAGGAGCACACATAATTCTACATTATAGTATGCATAATTGGTTAATAGTAGCATTATAGCTTCATTTGAACTCTCATATTTTCCAGCGGTGATGGCGGGTGAGGGGTGAAATTCCACCCTCTTAGGTACAGGTTGGCGAGCGAGCTGTCAGCTCTTTTTTTCAGATAGGCGAGAGCCAATGGACAGACTGACTTAGCCCAGCTTTCTCCAAACTCTTGGATATTTTTCCCTGTGAAAGCTAAAAATTGATTTTTCCTTGTGCTATCAGTTTTCTCTTTTTCATCATCCTCCCCAGAACCTGTAGAAACCTAAGGGAAATATAATGGACCAAGTGATTAAGGGTGGGTGTCAGGAGGATGGGGCCAAACTCTTCTCACAGAATCACAGAATCACAGAATGGTAGGGGTTGGAAGGGACCCCTGTGGGTCATCTAGTCCAACCCTCCTTCCAAAGCAGGGTCACCTACAGCAGGCTGCACAGGACCACGTCCAGGCGGGTCTTGAATATCTCCAGAGAAGGAGACTCCACAACCTCCCTGGGCAGCCTGTTCCAGTGCTCCATCACCCTCAGAAGGAAGAAGTTCTTCCTCAAGTTCAGACAGAACTTCCTGTGCTTCAGTTTGTGCCCATTGCCCCTTGTATTAAGTGTCTGCCTGGGTTGTTTACCTCAAAATAATGATTGGAAGCTGAAAGACAATGTATATTAGGTGTGCAGTACACAGTCTTGCTTCCTACTGGAGTCTCTGCCTGATATGTTGAGGTGATCCTCTTCACTTCCGTTTTCCTAATACATCTGTAAAGAGCTATTAATTTAAAATAGCATTTCTTTCCTTATTTGTTTGCGTATTCAGATGAAATGTACGTCTAATTTTATCCTTGTTCCATTTGAAATAGGACAGCCTGTCCTTTATTCCAAGTTCAGACCAACAAAAGAAAAGTTTGGAACTATATACTGAACATCTGATTTTTCAATAAACATCCCCATGTAATCTAGCCTAAATTTATACAGGTGCCAACTCAGTTCAACTTGGCCAACTTTGTAATTTTTTTTGACATTTGGTGCTTGTATAACAGATCATCTGCCATCCTTATATCGTTATACAGTATCCTCCTTTGAAGTGCAAATGAAAATTGTTTCCTCTCATACAATAGTTGCTTTATATAGATTTCTTAAGTCAGATCCAAAATTCAAGAATGAGAGATGATATTGGAGAGCCATTATATAAAAGGCTCATCATGCAGTCAGTGCCAAATATTAAAAAAATGACAAAGAAATATGTAGCAAACAACTAAAGCTGAATTTGGGTTTGCATAACATTGCTTTGTTGTTAACCTAAAATCTGAATTTATTATATAATCAGTGGAATTCACAGCACTTAAAATAATAACTGTCATTAATCCATTGATGTATATACCTCCCTGGCTACCATACAAATATTTCTTTGGTGTTTGGATTCTGTTATTTGTTCCCAGGTGATGTATAAAAATACAAGGTAGTAACCTACAGGTTAAAATGAGCACATTCTTTTTCAAATGCCCCAAAAACGCTGAATGCAGAAAAAATGAATACACTTTTGAGGCAGAAAAGATAAATATTTCAGCAGCTCAAAGTCAAAATCTACTTAAGTATTATGTAGCAATATAACGTGGCCATGCAGGTGTCAGTTTGTACATCAATGGAACAAGTCTAATAGTCTTGCTGTTGCAGTTTGGGCATGGTGTATAAAGAAACCAGGCAAACTTTTTTAAAATCCTCTAAGAAAGGATATAGTTTAAAATCAAGATGATAAGTTTCTTGAGCTCTCCTTTCTGCTTATATTGAAAGTATTATAAAAAAAATTACATGCATTTTGCTAAAACAGCATTTTTTTTTTTTTCTACCTTGCAGCTAGTGAAATGATACAGACTAAATTAAAAGACGGCATCTTAAGCTGAGAGAAACCATTATCTATGGTACATTAAGGATTAATTGACTAAAAATCAAGATATTACACTGGACACAGCTGATGCCATGTGTTATTTTTTGTTTTCAGAAAAATCTGTATTTCATAAAGAACATTAATAACAGATGAATTCAAAAAATACGACAGTCTGTGAAGAGGAATAAAACACTTTTACTGTAGTCAAGGGAGCAGAAGTTACATCTCATGTATTTTTCTTCCAAGCTTTAAAGGAAATAAGCAAATGCCAGTATGTCTAAAGAAGTTGCTTCAAAACAAGTAATTTAAAGAATATTAACTGGAGCTCCAAAAAAAGCCAAAATTGCCAGGATAATTGTCTTAATATTTCAAGAGCTGCTTATTGAAAAAGCTCGGCCTCCTTTTCACAAGAAAGATTCCATAATTTGAGTTCAGATCTATGTCCTGGTGTCTCCTAAGTCCTTGATTATGGCTATAGATCAGGAAGCTAGAGGTAAAAAAAAAAGATGATGTTTAGTTACAGATATAACAATGCAGATGTACTATATCCTTAAAAAAAAAAAAAGCTGTAAATACACAAATAAGAATCAGAAATATTCAGTAAACTGTGACTATACACAGGGTATGTTAAATGCAGGCTGCTAAACTGAGCTCCTCAAGCACCTCCCTTACTGGGGGGGTACACACAATATTAAACATCTAGAAAGTTTGGGGCATTAGCCTCTGTCATTAAGACAGGTTATGGATGAACAGTTCAACATGGTGAAAAACAGATTCTAGTTAAAAAGATTATTTCTTCTTTACACAGAATTGTAACACAGTTTTGCTTGACAAAGATTTGACACAGAATTGCTTTGAGAGCTACCAACTGACCCTATCCGAGTCACCAGAAAAAGCCCGTGTTTAACTAAAGTTCAAGTTCTTATGTGAACGTTGGAGTCAATTGCTGTTACTTGTGAGCCCACACTCCTCTCGCTCCGTGTTCCCCGAGGGCCTCATCGCTCGATGGTGTAAAGCACCATTTTCCCAAACTGCAGGAATTTATACTACATAAAGAACTATTTTTCTGGTTTCCCTAATCTGCTTCAAAGCTAATATTTTAAGCTTAATATTTCACATATTGATGTATTTACTTAGTGGTTTTTTTTTCTTTAAAGTGTGTGTCTGTAGAGTGAGTGTTCAGCTGTAAGCCTTAATAGATACCCTATGGAGTAAAAAGTTGGTTTGAAATTAGGTCTTGCTATAAACAAGCACATACACACCTAGAATGCTCTAATGCATTTTCTTTGCCCTTTTGGTAAATGATGTTTGCTAACTTACACATTGTTTATAGGTTCTTGATATTCTGTTTCCAGGAAATGAACACTTCAGGTCTGAATAATTGTCTGTACCTTCACAGCTCCTAAATAATGCTACACTTAGAAATTCATCATGCTATGACTTCCTACTGATTTACACATTATCTGCCAAGGATGCTGTGAAACACTTTTGAGTAAAAGATCAAAGGTAAAAAGAAAGGGAGAGATAACAGAAAATGAAACAACCAAGTCCAGGTATATCTCCAAAGATTTGGTGAGGTCTGGGCACAGTTCATTTTAAACCTTTGCAGTTATTGTCAGGGTGATATGTTAGTTGTTTTAATGAGCATGCATGTGTTCTTTTTGAAGCTATGGCAGAGCTCAACAATAGCCAAGTAGCATTCACACGCCTCTTGGTTCTCTCAGTTTATTTTTTGTTTATAGTCTGGCAGTAACATTTTTGTATTTTAACTTTTATGCATATTCTTTCCCTTGCTTTATCTTCCAGGAAATAAATGATGTGGATGTGCAGGAGCTGGTGAGAAGGTCAATTGGAAGGTTAACAATTATTCGACAGACATTTCCAGTGCCCCAAAACATAAGTCAGCGCTGTTTCCGTGGCAACCACAGAATATCTTCATCACTGTGTGATCCGAAGGACCCTTTCTCCCAAAGCATGGAGGTAGCTCAGATATCAGTCTATTCCCACCTGGGAAATGTCTTTCTAGATAAGTTCAAGGTTTTTTCCCAGGAGTTTAGTGTAATTTAATGTTTATTTTTCATGTCCTCTCCGACGTGTAGTTTAATGGCTCATAGCATGACAAGAAAATACTTGTGCAGGGGGGTGAGTGTGACTGACGACAAGAACAGCTCGCTTGCTCGCTCCACAGCAACTGACAAAAAAGTCCGAAAAAGACATCTGATCTCCAGGCAGTGGGGTAGTTGTTTAGTTGAACTGCTGAATTTTATTTTTTATCTTCTCACCAAGAAGAATTTCCTCCCCTTAGCCAACATCTCCTGAGTTGCTGTGCTTCTTTAAACCTCAAATGTGTTGACAATAGGAAAGTCTTCCTGGGGAGCATTGGTGTCATCTGTTTCGAGTGTCTTGGTGTATGTACCTAAATCTATGCCCATGCTCCAAAGAGGCCTTATTTTCAGGGTTGTTGATTACAAATCACAGTTAAATTATAAGAGCCTTCCTACCACGTGAAACTTGCAACGGGACCATGGTCACCGTCCTCCTGACTTCACATGGTTTTTCAAGAGCAAGTCCTCTACCTCTCTCATATATCTGGTTAGGCTTAGTCATGACAAAGCTACAGCAAATCAGAAGTGTGAAATTGGCTTAAGATGTCGATTTCACTTTTGGATTTTTTTGTATGGTCATTTAAGAAGTTGTAGAAAAATTACTACATTGGCAGCGGTGCAGAAGGAGCATACCTGACTTAGCAGCAGAGGGCAGTCATCTTGTAATGCTGAAAGAAAGGAGTGAGAGAGAACAATGGGAGAGATATAGGGAGGTGTTGAAGATCATCCTTGCTTAAAATCAAAAAATACAAGGGGTAAAGGAGGAGAAGCGTGTTTGGTCTTGCCCTGTTTCAGGTTAGCTGTAAGAGCCTTTCCCTCACTAATCCTTCACAAAGCAGCCAGTAAGCAGCTATTGATGACATGAAAAACTTTGGCTGTAGCACACTGTGCTGTGATCCTATTAGAGTTCTTAAGATAAACAGGGCTGTGTAAGGTCAATAGACACACAGAACATCTCTTAAGGCTATTTAGGAACTTAGAAAATTCCTTAGGTTGCACCTTTCTGCTATGGCAACTAGGTCTTAGGGGGAACTTTGATAGTCTGTGTATAACACATAGAAACTGAGGGTGTGATTATGTGCAGCTGCTAGAGATTGCAAACAGCAGTTTTCATGAACAAAGGCACGAACTACAGCAAGGTGGAAAACAAGAACTGTGTGTTTCGATGAGAGAGTTCACTTTTGATTCATTTTTCTCTTAAACTTCACTTTCATTTCATTTCCACTCCAACAGTGAGGTGATTCTAGGAGAGAAAAGTTCTAGAAATCAGTTTATTCCCTACAGATTGAAAAATTCCATTTAATGTGTTAGAATGGACTTTATAGCTTAACCTGTCCTTCTTCATCAACCTGTAGGCTGGAGAGTTATAAGCTTCCGTAGCGTTTTAGTTTAAAGGAATGATGGAAGCTTGACTGGTTTAATTGTTCTGCACAGTTGAGTTGCTTTCTTCATGCTTTCCCTGGGATGGCTGTGCTTGATTAGTTGCCGAGTGAGACAAAACTGAAAAATGAAAGGAAGAAAAACTCTGACACAGTTTCCCCTATGTCTTTGTGTGATGCACAGACCTTTGAGAAGCTGTGGGGTTTGTTTGCTGTTTCTTTGTTTTCCCCAACAATATTATAAATTAACTTCTATTCCAGTGGGGAGTTGGAATAGTTTATAAATTCAAATTTCTAATATTTTTTTTTATGCCGTCGAAGTATGACTAATCAGAAGTATTGTCTAGAAATTATAAGGATGGATTTCTTGATTTACTTTTTCTGAATTACTCCCCCTAAATTTTGTGTGAATAATTCTTTTTTTCAGCATCTTTATTAAAACACTGAAAAATATTTTGATGAAAATCTCTCATTGTGTCTCTGGAATTGTCCTAGTTGAAACAACAACTTCTATAACTTTTTATCATTTTGGAGGCAGGAAGTTAAAAACTAGATTCACAGAAGTGTTTAGTACCATAACCTTTTTGTCTAAAAACTATGTGCAATGGTCTAGCTTTATATAAAATACACACCATAAATCCAGATTAATCACTCTTACTTAATCCGATTGCTAAATACCTTACTTCTACATGCCGGAACAAAAATTCACATCTGAATTTTGAGTTGCATCAACAGGAGGTTATGCAGTTACATACTGCTTGGTAATACAAGTGTCCAGCCATTAGTCGAAGACTTGGAAGAAATAAAGGATCAGCAAAGGATACCAGCCAGTGTGTTAAATGTCCCAGTAAATTTACATGGGAAATGAATAAAAGTATAAAGTAACTTTAAATTGCAGCCTCACTGTGTGTATCGGGACAGTTACTCATGAAGCATGCTTCTGATAGTGACAGGGAAGGGTGATTTTTAGAAGCACAAATTAATTGTAGTGTCTTTATCATTGCATTATCAGTGATGGATTGCTGTAAATGTTAAGCTGAACTATTAGTGAAGGAATAACAATGCTTAATTATTCTGAACCGTGTACTCCTGAGCCCTGTTAATACTTGATGAAGGCCCAGCTATATTACTCTTAGATTAGTGAGTGCATCCTTCCTCATGAACTGTGACAATAGTCTTCTATTCCCATGATACTGGGTTACGGAAGCTACCTGGAGAGCAATGTCATTTTGTTGGGAAACGATGACTTAGCATCTGTAGTCCTTCATGTACCAATTTAGTCTCATTAGTGACCTCATTGTCTCCGCTCTCCAGAGGGTTGGCTCTTTTTCCTTTAGTGAAGGCTTATGTAAAATAAACTTCCCTCACATTACAGTAATTCCTTCTCTTCCCCTTAACCAAATGTCACTGTGATGCTGACTTCTTTGGGGAAATATGGTTTTAGCTGAAGTACTTTGAATTCTTTGTAGGTTTACAATACACAGACAAATCATCCAAGTTATTTTAAAAATAAAATAAAAACGCTTGATTAATCTGAACCCAGATCCTCAATCCATTCTTTTAATCCTGTCATGCACAGTGATGCCTGGCCTGTTCATCTGCAGAAAGTAGACTAGTTCCTGGGTGAATACAGACATGCAAATATTCACAGCCACTGGAGTCATGGGAGAAGCTTGAATAAGAATAAAGAAGCATCTTGCAGAAAGAGGGAGTGAAGGGTCATTGTTATTTAAAGTAAAAGGGAAACAAGGATCAGAAGTTCTGTGCGGTTTTGATACTAACAATGTAGAGCTGTAAGGGCAATAGAGGATCCTGAGAGTTCATCAGGAGAGAAGGAAGCTGACCAGTAGATCTCCTTCAATAAAATGTGGAAGGTAAAATGGCAGGGTCAGGAGAAAGCTGATCTCTTTCCTGAATGCTAGGTGGCAACAGATTCTGTCACAAAACCTAGCTGTGAGAACTACACAGAGTAGATTGCAGATGACATAGGCAAAGACAGCATAAAGGTGGAATTTGTGTAAGAAAATAAAAACAAAAAATTAGGTTATATGGAAAGGAGTAATTAGGCAGGAAGAGAGGCTATTTTTTTTCTTTTTTTCTTTTTTTTTTTTTTTCCTTTTTTTAAGGTGACAAGTGGCTTTGCCAATCATAGTGTCAGATCTTCAGCATCATTGTGCTTCCTTGGCATAGACTCCCTCCCAATGGCTGCACGACTTTCTCAGTCTTTGGATATTTTGAAGAGGCAGAATAGAGGCTTTCTCCACAAAGTTGGCATAGTTTCCTATTGTAAGCTTCCTTCTTATTTAAGATTTTGAGCAGACTATCTGTATGGAGAAACCCTTACACAGAGCAGTCAACATATTCCCCAGATCAGGGAAATGTCTTTTGGTTTGTCTGTCACTGATAGAGAAAAAAAACCAGCAACCTTGCGTCAGTTAGCAAATTGCTGCTGGCTAATTTTTTTTCAGGCACTAGGAATGCTCTACAGTCCTCTTCATAGTGCAAGCTGAGGAAACTGAGTTTCCCCTCAATAACTTCAGGCCCCATAGCTTCAAATGACCAACAGGTTATCTAAAAATAATATTCCCAAAGCTCCTTCTCATTTTTGAACATCATTCTCTTCCTGAGAACCTCTGTTCAGGAGAGCTAAGGTTTCTCCTTACCATACTGTTAATAACGTAAATGTTCCTGCCATGTGAGGACAGAAATGACTGAAATAAAGATGTATTGTAAATTACTTATTTCAAAAGTGTTCATGACTTCTGAGCTTCTGTTCTTTTATGTTGAATTGTATCTTTCACATCTGATTTTGTACTGTGTGCATTTAAAAGTACATATATAGAAATAGTAAGTAAGTGGAACTGGCACACAACTAATTTCTTTTCTGGAGTTCAGCTGTTCTCTTTTTGATGCCAGACTGGAACTTCTTCATGCTGTATGTGTGTAACTGTGCTCACAGTGAAACATACACACATTGACTCAGTAAGAGTTTCGTCCTGCAAGGAATTAACAGCTATTGCCAAATACTCTGACAGGAAACACTATGAATTACAGAATCGACATGCAACTGCACACTGAGAAAGCTTACATCATATTTCGTTCCAGAAATTGCATCAGTCAGAATTGACTGAAAATCAGGAAGAAAAAGAATGCTGAAATTATTTCTTTTAAATTTTCAGCATTTCTGTTTTTCAAAACAACAAAAAAAAGTCCTGAAGAGAATTTGATGGTGTCCAAATATCTGGTCACTGAAAAACTGAAAGTAGCAAACAACTGGTTAAAAACAAAAGAATGTCTGTTTACATTCACGGGTAGAGCTTTAAATCCTGCAAGTGGAGCTGTGCCAGTGACTGGGCTGCCTGTACTCCACATGTGTGTAGTTTGTTGCTGCAAAACACTTGCAGAGTGACAGCCCCAAGCTGCAGTTTCTACCAGAGCAAAAGATATGACTTTTTGACTCTTACACTTGCTACTTAATACCAAATAAGCTGCTTAATTACCAGAGGATTATGGGTGAGGAAAAACAAATGACAAATCCTGGCTGCTGGCAAAAGACCACAAACAATAATGCTAATACTCCATTTTTAACATCTTTGCAGATTTCAAACCTGTATATATATGACACTGTCCTGCTGTTGGCAAATGCCTTTCATAAGAAGCTGGAGGACAGGAAGTGGCACAGCATGGCCAGCCTCACCTGCATCAGGAAGAACTCTAAACCCTGGCAAGGAGGACGATCCATGTTGGAAACCATCAAGAAGGTACCTTTTCCCTGTGTTTCCTCATCTTCATTTTCTAAAATACTTGCATTAGGCAGTATTTCCTTCTGAGATGCGCACTATGCTTGCCAGCACCAGCAGTGCCTTTTCAAAGCAATTTCAAAAGCTGTTTCTGAACGAAAATAGTCTTTGATTGTTTTTGTTTCTTTTCCATGACATAATGGGCATACTTGAAATGCAGTCAATGAGTTTGTTTACCGAAACTACCAAGCTAGTAAGATTTTCAAGTACAAATAATATCCTACTGAGAAAGTGTCACTGGTTAGGAGGTAAAGCAGATTATTTTACTATTTTATAAGGTTGCAGAACTGCACTTAGGTAATGTTCTATGGAATTTGCTGTTGCACTAGTATTATCATTAATATAGTGAAATAATGTAAATGAACGTGAGGAAACCCGTAACTCGTCTAGTTTGTATCCTGCCGTTGCAGAACTGTTCCCTATGACAGTCTCTACAGTGCTTTATCCGATGTTAAGCTCTCACGACTTCCCTGTGATTATTATTTCATACCATGATCATGCTTATGCCAAGATCCTTTTCCTTTTCTTCAGTTTTTAAAAATGTTTTTTCTTAGTTATTCCCTTTCTTTGTGACATTTACAGCCTCCACATACTTAGAGATCATTTTCACAGACTTCCAGGTCAGTATTAAGTCAAAATATGCATAGGTTAGTAGTTTACCCTGCCCTGTAAGTTATTTGGTTCAGTCTCCTTATGTTGTTGATGTTTTTCATAAAACTGCCTTCTCATTTGTTTGCATGTACTTCCTGGTAATGTATACTTACATTTAAAGTGCTGTCAGTGCCTTCATTGGAAATAAGAACGAACCCAGGACAGTAAAACAATTTTTTTCTAAAAAAATAAAGGTGCTTTATTTATGGCTTTCATTAAATGGACATAAAAAGAAATTTAAAATACATTATTGTTTCATGAAGTTGCTGTTGTGCGTTAGGTCTTTAGCTACACCAGAAATTATGATGATGCAGGTAAAATGTACAGCTCCTTTGAATGCTGCTTATTTTTTCCCCAGTCCTGTGTCAGTCTGCATTAGCTCCAAAAAAACAGTTCACAGCCTGCTTTGGTGGCTGTCCCCAGTTTCCATTCTAATAGTTTGAAGTCATGAGACTGCAAGGATAATCCAGGACATTTCTTTTTTCGGGAGGAGGATATGACTTTAAGGGACTCTAAACTGTATTACTCTTCTACTATCAAAGCAATTTCAAATTCACATTTGGCAGTCCCATGTATTTTAAGCTATGTTTCAGGCAAGGCTGGTTCTGGGACTTTTCTTATCAACTTGCATTTTGTAAATACTGTTGCACAATTTTTCATTAATAAACTAAGAGGTATTTTTACTTATCAAATCCATATAGGATGCCTGAGCTGGAAAAGTCAAAATACACACTTCCACTTTAGGATTAGAATTTGGTATCTGAGCTGGAGTTTCAGGCAAAGTCTGGTAGCCCTAATAGCATCTCTAAATTTGGAAGTACTCCACCATGGAAAGGGCTGCTGACTGTTTTGCATTACAATTATTTGCTTGCTTGTGTTGTTTGTGGATGTGAGACTGATCCCGTTCTCCTATATAACCATCCTCTGTGTCATTTCTTACCACTATCTCATCTCTTTGCATCTCAAATGGAGTTTATTCCTTTCTTTGCCACATCGTCCTAGCTGTCAAACACCAGGGAAATTCCTGACATACACCAGGCTTTCATCCTGTTGCTTTTAGGTTTCTCTGCTATTTGAATGAGAGGGCTTTGATAAGAAGGCATTTTATTGGTAGAAATTGGATAATCCAGATACCCCTTGTACTGCATTGTGCTGACAGAGATGACTTTCTAGAATTAACAAGCTAAAATTGGAAGTTACAAATTTAATGCAAAATGAAACACAGAAATTTCCTCTGTGTGTGTATGTCTGTACCATTTGAATCCCTAGGCAGAGGAAAGCTAAAGATGGCAGCTGAGAGATAGAATTGCACTAGAAAGAGGAATTCTACTTTAGCTTTGTGGTCATTTTTGTTTCACTAAAGCACTTATGTAGAAGAACTTCAGGATCACAGCTGTGAAATTAAAAAGTTGACATAGATGAATGTCTGATTAAGTAGCAGAAAAACAAGAAAATTAGAAAGTAATTAAAGGAAAAACAAAAAAACACTTCATGTCTCCTCTTGAGAATGCTTCCATTTTTCATCTTTTTTTTTTCTTTAAACATATTTTGTTTCCTGTCATCTTGGAAAATCCTCTAAAACCAGCTGAAATAAAAATTTTTTCGCAAAAAATACCAGTTTACCTTAATTTTGAAAGAAGACAGGAAAAAGTTACCATGTGGTATTCAAAGATATAGTGTATAATGGAATGTCATAGGAAGATACTGTTATAGTTTAGGGTGAAAATACATTCTGACATTTCTTTAAAACTCCTAGAAAAAGAGCTTCCATCCTCTGCACAGCTTTAACTCTACCTTCATAATGACCTGTATAGCAGATCTGGAATCACTGTCTTGTCCCAGGTTGTCCCTCACCTCTGTGTGGCTTTAGTGGCTGTCTTATTGTAGCCAGGTATGGTGGTGGTGGGGGAAGAGTTAAGGAAGAGATGCCCAATTCCACCCTGCCTCCCTTAGCAAAGGGCTAGCAGCTCATGTAGCTGTTCTGGCAGCAGCAAAGTGGAGGTGATGTTGCCATCTACTGCTGTGCACAGATGAGATCTTGCTGCTGAAAACGCAGGGAAAACCAGTTCTAGATGAAACTTTTCTAGAAGAAAATCTATCTTCTAGTATCAAAGATCCAGAAACAGGAATCTCTTGTAGTGTTTTAGCTGCAGAGGGAATCTCTGATTTCTGGAGGGGAAAGTAAGAAAAGCGATGGGAAAACTCTGTAAGCTACACACTGAAGAAGGTAAGAGAAGGGGATGCTGATGTTCTATCTGCAGTAGCACATGTTAAAAGTAGGAGAATTCTAGTGGTAAATAGACTAATTTCTTTATGATTAATGAGCTAATAAGGTAGAGTAGAGAATGAGGAGGAATTAGAGTTCCAAGAGCTTCTTGAACTGGTGAGATAGCTGTCTGAATCATTCACTATTGTCATTTTGTTAGTTTTTGCTGTTGAACATTTGATTCCTTCTTCGCTATTTCTACAAACAACTCCAAAAGCTGCTTTTTCTGTGTCAAGTCAGCTGGTTGGACAAAGCCTAAAAAAAAACACTTTAAGCCCACTACAATTATTAAAATCTAATATCTGTTTCTACCCATTCTGGAACTGAATAAATAGTTAAATTCATCAGGAAATACAATCCTTCTAATGAATTTGGCCAGCTCTAACAATGAGTTCTAAATTCACTTCTGTAATAGGAGCTATCCCCAAACACATGCTCACTTGTTTGTTTCTCAGTAAAGCTATTTCACTGCGAGAGAAAGAAGTATTACTAGAAAATAATTCTACTGTGGAAAAATTAATCTTCCCAAATAGCCTGAGAATAAATGTAAGTAGGATTATACGGAGGATAAACTCAGAAAAATGACATCAGGTTATGCATATACCCTCTCTCATGCTTACCTGATCTCTTCCCAGCCACATTTGTTTACCTCACTGACAAACAGCAATTTTTTAGTGCTAGCAGTAACGTAGATTCTATTCCTTTGCGGAAAATGAGCTGTACCTCGTGCTGTTTCATGAATCATGGGTGGAATTGTCAACTAGTTCTCATCTCAAATGTCAGTGATGTTCAGTGGTGACATGTAAAAAAGATGCCAAATTGTGTTTCAGGCAGTAGCTTAGGCTCTCTTCACTAGTGGCTAAAAATTGTGCAATGAGTTCAAAACTCAACAATGTCTTCAATATTGGATATTTTCAGCAATAAAATGTGAAACTCGTATTTAATGCTTATGGCATTTTTTTCCCACATGTAACAACATTTTTTTTCTTAATTGCAAAATAGCTAGTGTCTGAGCTTAGCCATATTTTGAAAAACAAAAAAAAAAAAGGAAGTTTGAAGAGAAACTGTGAGAGAAGTACAGTATTTTATAACTGATGACTGGCAAGCTGACATTCCCAAGTGAGGTCCTGACTGCTGAGTAAATAGTGCTTTTTTCAGGGACTTACACTATAGAAGTGCCTAAGCACATGTAAACTGTAGTTTATCTTGCCAGTATAGATGGGATTCAAGTAGGCTTTGACTATATTGCCAAGCTTTATAACAGCTCTGCAAAGCCCACAGCAGTGATCAGAAATGCAAGTAAAACATTTTTGTCCTAACAACTGACATTTCACTCTTCCGGTTTAAATGTGTCAGAAAATTGCATGGTTGCAGCTCAACCTTTGTGGAATTTGAGAGACTAGATAATAAATCTGTCTTCATTTTTCCCCAAATAGCATTTCTTCTGCAAGTTAAATGGAATGAAAAATTTCTTTTACTCTCATCCATTATCATAATTAATACTAAAATAACTTGGAAAAATCTCATCAGGATGTTACTGGATTAGCAGCTGTCATACCGATGGGCCATTTCCTCTGTGATCTCCTTCTACTACGCATTAACGGAGGGACAAAACACATACCATAAATCAAGTGTTTTAGAGGGAGCCACACTGTGAAAGACTATGCAGAAAAATTGGAGCAGTGTCCTGAAACTCATTCTAGGCAATACACTGGCCCACTCCATCAGCCCTAAGCAATAGCACAGCCTCATGTAAGCCTTGTAAGAAGGTGGTGTGGGACAATGAGGACTAGCAGAGAGCAAGAACAAGATTGCCTGGCCTGCAGGTGCAGCAAGGGTAGGTCCCAGGTAGGGAGAAGGCATCAGTACCTCCAAGAAGTCTTCTATCAGATTTAGTATCATTGTTGGTATTATATGGGTGGTTCTTCACTAGTTTGTCTTTCTGCCTCTGCCCTTTCCAAGCCAGGACCTTTCCCATCCAGTCTGAGCTCTTATTACACTATTTGCAGATGTATACAGTCTAAGACAGAAAACTCTAATCAAAGACACTCTCACATGAAAAATTTTCAAAGCGTGATAAAATTGCCACAATAGATGAATGAGACAAACTGTTGTTATGATTACTGCTGGATTTCAGACAAATAAAACCGACTAACAGACTTACGGCGTGTATCTTGCCCCAGCAGTTGCAGTTGTTTAAAAATCAAGGTAAATAAACTTACACAGTGGTTTTGGATAGAGATTCAATTCCAAAATATGGTAAGTAAGTGTGTCAACCTGTACTATATTTTAGGAGCCATGTATTTCCAAAGAATCCTGTGTTCTCTTGAAAAGTGGATTTCATTATTTCACATATAACTGAGATGAAATAATTCTTCAAATGATCTTTTTTTTATCATAGTTTCTCGAATAAGGACAGAGGTTATAAAAAATAAAAAAAGAGTTGACTAGAATTTTAAATTTCTGTCTCAAGTCTCAAAATTTTTTTATATTTTACACATGATTCTGTCTCCATGTCCTATAGATTATTGGGAACACTCTCAATCTAGACAATAAAATCCCTTTAATTCTCTATATCGAAAGCTCCCAGTTTAAAACTACTTTGTTAGAAAATAAGAAAAAAGGAACACACTTTCTGCTGTACAAAACATCTGCGCTAACAGATTTTCATTCTTCTTGTTCGATATTTCCTTTCTTTTCTTATTTTGTTCCAGATTTTTCCTTTTTTCCAGACCTTGCTTGTGGCTCACTTGAAATCATGGTGCAGCTCAGGTGGTCTATAACAACAGTTTAATTAATTTTCATTTTTTACTTACATCAGACCCACAGGTTTAATTCATGTGGTGGGGGAAAAAGTTTTAGGAAGTAATATAGTAAATGTGAAGTATAGTATAATAAAAGCAGTGTATGGTAAGGGGTCACAGTGGTATAAGACTAGGAACAGGTTTATACTGTCAGGGAGGGCAAGTCAGCAGAACAGGTTTTTATTTATGGTTAATGAATAGGATGTAGTCAAATTTAAGCTAGCAGAAAAAGTTTATATTTTTGAAACTCAGATATTTACCTAAGGATATGTTCAAATGATTTCGCAGGTAAACACAAGCTCACTATTGTCTTTGCTCTCAACCAGCCAGAGGTGTACTAACACCAATCTAAAGGCCGTGAAGGAGTGATTATTACAGGATCGTGTTCAAGCTAATCAGTAACCATAGAGACATACATCAAAACTGCCTGGCTGGCTCTCACTAAGGGCGAAATGACCTGGAGGCTTCCTGCAAATAACTATGCAGCTGTATCCTTAATCAGGATGTTGGGTTTTTTTCCTTTTTTTTTTTTAATATTTTTTCTGGTATCTCCTCCAAAAAGTAAATGATCTAGAAAAGATTAAAAAATATTTATACACAAAATGTTATCTTCTTTTTAACTGAAAGTGGCACTTCATGAAACATGTATGTATTATTCCCTAACAGTACTAGTTTCTAGTAAGTATTAAAGCTATTATCTCAGCAATCAACTTCCTTATTTTTATTACAACCATATTAATGTTTTGTAAAAGGATGACCACATTTTGTTAGTACATACTGACCTGCAATGGAGATGCAAATTTTGTACTCGTACTTGTATTTTCTCTAAACTGAAGATGTGGGAATAGAGCTTTTAAAATCATGATTCAGTAAGACTGGTGTGCTTAGATGGGTAGTTTATATTGCAAGAGTTTATTCTCTAGTTTTTTTGGTTCAAATAATAAAGCTCTTAACTGAAAGAGCAATCACAGCTGCAAAACTCTTGCCTTATATTTTGAAGAAAAGCTATGCATTTCATATGGTTTTACACAAGAGGTAGATTTTTTTTTCTTGTATATACTTAAAATATTGTTCAAGTGTTTTGGAGGAAGTGGGTCAAACATCTACTTTTCCCTGAATCTGAAAACTGAGGAAATTTTTTAAGGCTAAATGTTTTCATTGTAGGCATTTCCTGTGGCTTTGTTGATTTTACAGTTCAGGTCATCACAGTTCTTATACAAAGACGAAATGTGTGTCATGTGGAATTAACTCTGGAATATATTTTGACTATTACTGTGGCAGGTCCAGCCCTTTCAACTCTGATTCTTTATAGTAACAGTTCCCCGCTTCATCTTTAGTATTTTAACACCTTCTGACAGAAATGTATAAAAGCAAAAGCGAGCTTGAAAATATGCTGCATTGTTGCTCATCTCACGCATTGTTAGTAGTAGAGTTAGGGAGGAAACCAGAAAAATCGCTATATTCAGCTAGAGCCCCTCTTCATTTGTGCAGATCACTTACACTGGCCTCAAAAAACACCTAACTTGATCCAAAACTCAGCCTGATCTTACATGGAAATCTCTATTGGGTGAGAAATGTTTGAGGGGCAAAAGCAAAAATAAACAAGCAAAACTATATTTTGTGCAATTTCTTTTATATATTTGTCTTCAGTTTTGCTTCTACTAAAATTAGTCGCAAAAGTTTGGGGGTTTTTTAATGTCCTTTCTGCATTCTTTTCCTACCGTTAGCTCAGTATAACTATAAACATCAGGTGCTATCAGCTCTGGAGCAGTCACTGAAAAATATGCAGCCAACTTCAGAAAAACACAGTTATTTAGAAGAACTTAGCTGAAAGGAAAAATTCACCGAAAGAGAATTGGTTCTGTTTTAACCATAACCAGAACAGGCTACGGTGTCTATACGTATACGTTGATGGGTTGAAGAACAATAAATGGAGTGCAAATGCACTAAGAGCAAGACTGTTGTTTGTATGGTGTCTGCTTAGCGTTGCTGAGTTTGATTCTTCTGTGAAGACCTTAAATGATGCAGGAACAATTTAGGCTTCAGAAATTTTAGGTAAATGTGGTCTTTGGAAAACTGTCCTAATTCTGATAGTTGTGTATGTATTCTGCACAGTTAGTGCACAAATCTCTTGGAGAAACAAAAGCTTCTTAAAATTGGCTACTTCTAAGTTTCCACTCCATTCTCCTTTTTCTCCAATAGGGTGGAGTGAATGGCTTGACTGGAGATCTGGAATTTGCAGAAAATGGGGGGAATCCCAATGTACATTTTGAAATTTTGGGGACAAATTATGGAGAAGATCTTGGCAGAGGCATCCGCAAGGTGAGGCTACATATATCTGAACGAGACTACTGATTTTTTTTTAAAACTTGCTTGTGTTCCATGTAAATAGAAAAGTGTTTGATGCAGATGATGTGGTGTTGTGTATTGTGAAGAGGAGTAAGAAATGGGAGAAAAGTCTCAAACTTCTAGATACCCATCTAATTCATTATTGCAAAAAGGCCTTGCAATAGCTCATGTTGATCAAGGTGGTGCTTGTAATATAGAATGTTTGTAATACTAGAATGTTTCTGGTTAACTGTCCCAAAAGATCAATGAAAGCTGTTGTTGTGTAACCTTTGCAACCCATTTCCAAAATAGCAAGTTGTACATTGAATTATGTTTAGAGAACTCAGATTGACACTTGATACTTATGGTCAAAGTGGCATGCTCCAATTGTTAGCTGGTTAAAATTCATAGGTACAGAAAATGTGTTGTAACATAGACAAAATTTCTTTTATTTCTTGTCTTCATGAAATAAGTACATGATGTTTTAGTAGAAATTAACTTTTACAGAATACGTGTGATGTTATGTATTCAGCTGCAAGACACAGTCCAAATCGGATTGTTTGAGGCAATGGCGTACATCTCCAGAAAAATTTCTTTTCTTTTGTATTTCAGATTTGCTAGTCTGTAAAAATAAATTAAATTTCTGTGTAAGGAAGACTTTTCCAGGAGCAACTGTCTTTCAAAAACAGACCTCCTGAAAGATAATACCAAGATCTCTTAATTTAGTGTATCAGATCACACTGGATTTTGTATGTGAGGAAGCTGAACTGATTGTCTGAAAGCAAATGACAGAGAAAGTTATCTTAATATATGTAAACTGATTCCACGTGTCAGTGGTGCTGTATGATGAAGTACATCATTTGTCTGCATACCTTCTGCAGTAACAGATAAGTTGTCTGAAAGAAGGGAGAGATAAATAAGAAGTTAAAAGTGTCTCAATCCTGAAATTTCTCCTTGGCTATTCTCTGGAATCATTATTCCATTCGTGCTGTTTCAACTGTTATCAATACCTTAATGTACACATGTCCCTATAGCTTTGTCACCTTGAGCAGAGATCCTGACAGATGCGTTTGAAACTAAATGAAACAGGATCTTGTTGATATGTGGAGGTGTGGTTAGCAAAGTCTTTAGGTGACCAGAATGTTGGATAGTTCTTATTCCCTCACCTGTAAATTTAGTAAGTTTCAGCATATTTTGACTTGATTTATTTTCCTTGTGATGCATCAAGGAGCTATTTATTCTTTACAGCAACCAAGTAGTCCTTCCTAAGACAAATCTGTATATCTTCATTTGATTTAATTTATTGATTTGGGCTTTTTTTTTACTTCAGGCCTGTCTGGGTAAGTGTTTGAGTGAAGCATTAAATTGTGTTCTTCCATTTCATAAAAGAATAGAAGAGAAAGAGAGAGAGACCCACAGAAAGGTCTTGGAAATACAGAAGTACAAAAAGACTTCCTAGACTTTCTGACTCTTTTCCAATAGTGTAATTTAGATTTATTGTGCAAATTTAAACTACGGTACAGTTCACTTGGTCATGTGTAAGTTGCGGAAAACAAAGAGATAGTACAAACAGGCTTTTCAAACCCTCCTTGTTTACCCTTTGTCATAGTTCAAGGACAAAGAGACATTCACTGTCTTTGAAAGGAAGCAGATTTGAAGTTGATCAAAGAGAATGGAGTTTTGCATAGAGTATAATTAGACCTTGAAACTCAGTGTCACAAGACCCTGTTCAGGAGGAAAGCAAAGTTCAAAAGATACTGAAAGTATGTATTTTTTATGTTTGCTGAGAAGAGCATTTAAAATTAAACACAGAGATTATGGGAAAATTTTCCTGTTGAAGGTTGCACTATAAATGTCTATCCTTAGAGTTTTGTGATGCGCTGCAGCTGGTTAAAAAAAATAAAGCATCCCGAGCAGAACGGATTTAGTCTGTTCCAATTTTTTTTTCTAAAGAGCATGCCATGATCCAGAGGAAGCTTCAGAAAGAGTCCCAGTGTAGAGAAAGGAATTTTCTTGAGAAATAAATTTCTGTATATAGTGTGAGAATGTGATAATTTTTCCTGGAAGCATCTTTCAAAAACAATTCAAAATAATTTCAATTAAATATCTTTTTTTTCACTAAATTTAAAAATAAAAGGATTTTAAATAAATATGATATTTATAATCAATGTCACAAAGTTAAAAAAGACAACCTGGGGATCCTAAAACATAGAGAAGAAAATTTTTAAGGGGAAAATGCCATAAGCTGGTTTTACTCTTTTGACAATAATTCACATATTTTATCTTTGATTAGGTTTTACGTTACAGTGTAGAAACACTAGTGCTGGAAGAAAATCACAATAATTACAGGAGACAGATATTTTTTTGTTAGCTGCACTAAGTAAAGTGCACTTCATATTTTCATGTATTTAGTGGTCTGACTACAGAACTACCTAATCATTTTTATTTTTTAGCTCTAGTGGAAGCAGCTGCAATTAGCAGGCTGAAATGTCTAAACAAATGCATCTTCCCTAATTAACATGTTCCCAAGTACTTTTACAGGAGATAATAAAGGGTGAAATCATGACCAAAAGGCCCATTGAAGTCGTTGGGGCCAGAAGTTCACACCAAGTCAAGTGTGTAATTTTTTTTTTCCTCCCCTGAGGAATAATTATTTTAATTAAAACAAGTAAAGTTTTAAAATGCACTTAAATTTCTCAAGAGTCCAAATTCTGCTTGAAATCAGTTCTGATTGGGTTCCGGAGTCATTTGGTTGCTTCTGAAAAGCTCACTTATATTCACAGGTTAATATTCCTAGGACTCAAAAAAGCAAACAATTTAGGAAACAAAAAGAATTCACATTTGTGTGTCTTTTTGTTGGCCATATTAAGCCATGTATCTAGCAGACACTGTCTGCAAGTCAGCTTCAACTTTCATGGGCTACTGTCATACCCAGAAAGCAGCAGAGCATTCGTGTGAAAGTTCATTGTGTTGGGGACCTTTCTGTAGTGACAAATTAGCAAATTCAGGAGTGCAATTTGCCTGATATACAAATTTTCTATCATTATGTCTGTAAATGCCGTCTATCACCTTGCCGACCACAGATTGCTTAGGCTATACAGAATCACAGAATCAGAATAGTTTGGGTTGGAAGAGACTTTAAAGGTCATCTAGTCCAAACCCCTTGCAGTGAGCTGGGACATCTTCAACTAGACCAGGTTGCTCAAAGCCCCATCCAGCCAGACCTTGAATGTTTCTAGGGATGGGGCATCTACCACCTCACTGGGCTACCTGTGCCAGTGTTTCACTACCCTCATTGTAACATAATTCTTTCTTATATTCAGTCTAAATCTACGCTTTTTTTGTTTAAAACCATCACCCCTTGTCCTATAGCAACAAGCCCTGCTGAAATGTCCATCCCCATCTTTGTTATAAGCCCACTTCAGATACTGGAAGTCTGCTATAAGGTCTTCCTGCAGCCTTCTCTTCTCCAGGCTGAACAACCCGAACTCCCTCAGCCTTTCCTGATAAGAGAGGTGTTCCATCCCTCTGATCATTTTTGTGGCCCTCCTCTGGACATGCTTCAACAGGTTCATGTCTTTCCTGGGCTGAGGGCTCCAGAGCTGTATGCAGGACTCCAGGTGGGGTCTCAGAGTTGCATACTTGGAGTAACACAGTCAGATCGCAGCCAGACACTGCTTTTATTGACACTAGTGGTGTTACCATCCCAAAGGAACTGCAGAAAAACTCTTGCCTTTACACATCATGCTGTGGCTTGCATTTGTGCAGATATAGTTATATTCAGTAGGAGACAAGGGTGTATTTCTGACATTTCTCTCTTGCCGTTTGTCTGCTGGCATTTGGCATTTGAGTATGTATTCTTTGACATTTAAATTTCAGTGCAATACTTTTATCTATATTGTTGAAATAAAAGCTGCCATTCCTGTGAAAAAGCAGCCAACACACAAATGAACAAAAGGGAGTTGATAGCTCAGAGGGGTACTGTCTTATATCTTAGTGGTGTAAGAAAACAGCACTGTAGAAAGTGGTTTTCATGTTTCTTCCGTGTAATTCAGAATGGGCTTGTCCTCAAAGGTTCTGTACTACACCTGTTGAAGTTTAGAGGATTTTCTTCCTCTTCCTACACCAACTTTCTTACCATGTGTGGACATTTGGAGATCGTGGTGCATTTTGCTCTGCCTCCATTCCCTTGTCAGCATACACCCACCTCCTGTGCATTTCTCTTCTCTTCTGAAGATGGTTTCTGTCATTTCCTCCCAGTAGGGGAGTGAGATGATGTGCCGGCCTCTCGCATCTCTTCCTCTCTGCAGCAGGATGGCCATGTCAAGGCATTGTTTGCATTCAGGACACCGAGAGATGCATTGGAGCAAGGATGGAGCTATGGGCATGTGGGAAAACAGATGCCCTGGGTGGGGTACCTGGGCACTCCAGGAAGCTTTGAGCCCTCTGCATTTGTCCAGTAGGATTGTAGGGCTCTGTCCTAAATGATTTTGACTTTGATGACCTTAAGGAAGGAATGCTATCTGTTTTAATCCGAGGGATATATGTAGCACAAAGCATTTCATGTGAATGTGACTGAAGGCCTTTGGCCATAATGCCCAACAGATGTGTTGTTCCTCTCTCCTTCTGCCAGTGTAGATGGCAGGACCTTCGCTGTGGGTCAATGGATGCAGGTTTTTATTTCACAGATTATTGAGGGTTACATGGGACATTCTATAGCTGTGTTATTTGTTCAGAGATGGGAAAATTGTCTTGCATTTTTTGGCTTCATTCTAGTGAAATAATTGCTGCTTCCAGTTCATCTGAGAACAGTTGTGGATTACAATAGTGGCATTGCTTTGTTACGCGGTATATAATTTTTTCTTACATTTGCGTCATGAAGCAACGTGTATTCCAAGTGTATATTTTGATCTTGGGGAAGCTGTTGCCTCTTCTTATAAAGTTAAAACTTGTTTTTTGCATCTTTTATCTCTTATTCCCTTTTGCTTTATTAA